ACGTGTGTGTGTGTGTGTGTGTGTGTGTGTGTGTGTGTGTGTGTGTGTGTGTGTGTGTGTGTGTGTGTGTGTGTGTGTGTGTGTGTGTGTGTGTGTGTGTGCCTGTCCACTACGGCACGTGACCGGTTTCACGGTGGTGCCATCGCCTGACCATCCTCATCACCACTGTACCTGTTGTTCCATGACCGACAGCGCGTGCTCAAGTATCCGCTGCTCCTGCGTGAGGTGGTCTCGTCCACAGACCTCGACATGTCCTCGGCTGTCGACGCAGGTGTGTGTGTGTGTGTGTGTGTGTGTGTGTGTGTGTGTGTGTGTGTGTGTGTGTGTGTGTGTGTGTGTGTGTGTGTGTGTGTGTGTGTGTGTGAATGCCGTGCCGTGCGCTCAGCCCACTCAATCTCCAAGCTCGTGCACACACATGACGCGTTATCACGACACCTACATCCCCACACTGCTCAAACTCTGCAGCGTCGCGCCTTGCCGAGCAAGCGAACCTCAACATGAACAACCCGCAACACCGGCTGAACAAGGAAGACATATCCGGGCCAGAGGGCGTGCAGGTGAGCACCGCAGCGCCCATATGGTGCTGTTGTTGTTGTTTAAGTAGTAGTAGTAGTTGTTGTTGTTTGAGTTGTTGTTGTTGTTGCAATATCTCACTTGCAGTTCACCACCACCACCACTATGATCACTATCACTATGATCACCTCCACCTCCACCACCACCACCACCACCACCACCACCACCATGATCACTACCAGCGCGCTGCCCTTCTGTCGTCCACTTCCGATGTTCTCGCCTCGTCATCATCGTCGTCGTCATCATCAGCAGTGGCACTGCGTCCCCCGGCCCCGCCATCAACGGCAAAGCCGGGACTTGTGTCCCCACCACCACCACCACCCCCGCCAACATCAAAGCCACAACCACCACCAGCACACAGGCCACCACCGCCAGCACACAGGCCACCACCGCCAGCGCACAAACCACAGCCATCGCCACCACCACCACCATCATCATCATCATCATCGCCACTGCCAGCTCAGCGCAAGACAGCGATTCGACCGCCACTGCCAACAGCATCAACAGCAGCATCGACAACCACACCGTCGTCATCATTGCAACACCAGGCAGGTCTGCAGAACGACCAATCAGCCGTCACATCGCTACCGCCGCCGCCGCCATCGAAGCCAAGGCCAAAGGCTGCCATCACTCCACCACCACCACCAGCACACAAACCACCGCCACCAGCACACAAACCGCCACCAGCAGCAGCACACAAACCACCACCGCCAGCACACAAACCACCACCACCAGCGAAACCAGCTGCTCTGTCGTCGTCAAAACCAGCCAAGCCGCCAAAGCCAGCGGCGCTGCGACGACCACCACTGAAGCCAACACCACCAACACCACCACCCCCACCAACACCGTGATCACAGTGGTCGAGCGTGTGGTTTGAAGTAGCGCACTTGTTGTGGCTGCAGCAGCGGGCCCTGTTTGCAGTTTGGGTTACCTTTTTGGAGTTGTGTCGCTCTTTTCGTGTAGCCGTTATCGCTGGCTTGTGGTTGGATTGGGGGGGGGGGGGGTTGGTTGGTTGGCTGGTCGTTTGGTGCGTGGTGAGGTGTATGAACTGGGCTTTGAACTGGGCTTTGAGTGAGCCCTCGCCCAGCATGGGTTATGCGTAGTTGTAGGTACGATGGTGGTTGTGGTGGTGGTGCGTTGTCTTGTGCCTTTGCTACTCGAGGTTTGTTATGTGTTAATTACATACAACAACTAAAGCACGATTAGCCAGAGTACAAACGAGGCAGAGAAGGGAAGAGACAGGGAAGAAGAGGGTTACAGGGAAGCAGCATGAACGCGTTGGGGGAAGGAAATCACGCTCATGCTCGGCAGATGGCATCGGAAAAGAAGGGGGGTGGGGTGGGGTTTGTGAGGTAATGATGGTGCCACGAAAGGAGGGCCCAGTCATCTCCTTCTGCCTGACTGTTTGCTCTTCTTGTCCTTCTTCTTCTTGTCCTTGTTCTTTTTGTTGTCTTTCTTGTCTGTCTTGTCCTTGCTTTTCTTCCGCCATGGCAGTGGTACTCTTGGCAGCTTGAGCTTGCGTGTTGAGCGTGAAGAGCTGTTGCCGCCTGTCTGGCTGCCATAGCGTTGCACTCGTTGTAGCGATCGTCGTTTCGCTTCCTCATACTCTCGTCTAAATAATTGGTTTTGTGTTCGATGTTACGGTGTGGTGTCAGGACGGGCGCATGGTTAGGTGTCAAGTGCACACAGGAACGCAATCACGAGCACACATGGGTGCACACAAGCACATGAACGCAATCAATCATAGCACGCCTGGGTGCACATAAGCACATGAACGCAATCAATCATAGCACGCATGGGAGCACATGGTGCGCACACACAGAAGAAATACACACAGCATCCCTACACACACCAACGCACACACACGCACACACACACGCACACACATACGCACACAAAGCATCCCTGCAGCATTGCATGCCAGTGCTTACAGTCGCTGTTCGCGCTCAGTGTTTGCCATGAGCGGCGCCATCTCCATCTCTGCTTCAGCGCGCGCAATCTCTTCTGGGGTTGGCTGCCTTTTCCTGTTTCGCCGACACAGCTTCCAGCACCACAACCGACATGCCTTCTTGTCCCTGCTTGACATGCAACAAAAGCAACACCAAGGCACGCAGCACAGCACATACGGTGCGCTTGTCTCAGCGCCAATCGTCCGACTCCGCCGATCCGTCTCAACACCACCGCCACCCATCGCCAGTTGGTGTCCTGTCTTGACGCCTTTTTGTGGTGTTGTGTGCCTTGTTGTCCTCCACTCCACTCTTCCTTCCTCCTTCCTCCTCCTCCTTGTTTGTCTTCCTTGACTTCGTGGACACCACTGCAGCGTCATGTCTCAGCTTCGCACCAAGATCACCCAGAAGGTCATGCTGACCCTGGACTCCTTGCAAAAGGGCATCACGGTACGCCTTTGCCCCCCCCCTCAAGCGCATTGTCTTGACGTGTGTGTGTGGTGGATGTGGTGTTTGTTTCAAGAGGCTCGTTTGTGTTTGTTTGTTTGGTTTGGTTTGGGTGTTTTGAATTGTGGGTTGTGTGTTCGTATGGACACTTCACTTTGTCTGCCCATCTCTCCGTTTCTCAGTGTTTCTCTTTGTACGTTGCACCAACTGATGCTATTCCCGCCTATTGCTGCGATGGCACTTGGCAGGACTCCAACTTTTCCAAGACGGGCAAGCTCACAGCCAAGGAGGTGCGTTGTGTGCATTGTGTGTATGGTGTGCATTTTGTGCGTGAGCATGTTGTGGTGCTATTGTTATGTCCTTGGACAACAGGGGCGATGTTGTTGTTTCTCCAGCCGTCTCCTTCAATCACTCACCACGCGTGTAATCAACTACAATTGCACCTCTCGATGATGTTGGCAGTTTGTTGAGGCCGGGGACTTCCTTGTCGCCAACTTTCCATCGTGGTCCTGGTGCGTGCGCATTGCACCGCTTGAGATGCCGCTTCTCACCTTTGCTCTGATCGAACCCATTGTTTCGTGGCTCACACACACAATCCCTGAGCAACGCGTTTGGTGGCTTTGACTCATCGTCTGTGGCACACACACACACACACACACACACACACACACACACACACACACACACACACACAGGGCCGCGGGATTGGCTGAGAACAAGCGGTCACACCTGCCAGATGACAAGCAGTTTCTCATCAGCAAGAACGGTAGCACCCATGTTACGTCTGCATGTAAATGCCAACGTCGTGCCCCTCGCTGCAACGAGTCACACGCATGCAACCACACACACACACGCACACACACACACACACACACACACACAATATCACCCGTTCTCATTGCCTTCACCTTGCCTGCTTGTGCAGTGCCGTGCTTCCCGCGCGAGGAACGTGAAATCCAGCTTGACGAGCTGAAGCTGGATGACGACGATGACGGCTGGGTGCAGACCAGTCTTGTCGGTGCGTCACAAGCCACATCGCCGCGCCTTGCACTGTTGTTCTGCTGCTCTTTTACACTCCTTCTGCACGAGCGTACGTGTGCATTGACGCGCCCACATCTGCGAATCGTGTACCGCCATCCCACTTTTCACACACACACATACACACATACACATACACATGTATGCGTGCATGCAGGGGCACCGGAGGCGTGCGGGGTTGTGCCCGACCTTGAGGACGACGTGCCGGTAAAGGCGCAGGAGGAGCTGGACGACGATGCAGCGGAGGCGGATCTCGACGATGTGCCCACCCTCGACGATGACGACGACCTCGAAGGTGAACAGTCAAGGGAGGGGCAGCTGTGGCTGCGTTTGGTGTGTGAATGTGTGGTGAGGTAGCAGCGTGTGTGTGTTGCGAAATCGTTGTCCAATGTTGCATTGCAACGCCTGACGCGTCACCCATCCCTGCTGCTGCTGCTGCTGCTGTTGCTGCTGTTGCTGCTGCTGTTGTACAGGCGCATATTACAAGGACGCCGTGGAAGACGACGACGAGGTGAGATGCACAATATATGCGCGCGCACGTGCGTGTACAGATGCTTTGCAGGCCTTCTTCATCACGTGTCTCGCCTGTTTCTTTTGTCGTCGCCAGCACGGTCACCACCGCTACCACCACCACCAACCCCTCGCATTTCCGCCATCTGTGCACTTGTGTCTTCGCGTCTTCTCTGCTCAGGCTGCGCTTGACCCGTCTGGCGATGCCGACAACATCAAGAAACTCCGCTCCTATGACATCAGCATCCACTACGACGCACACTACTCGGTGTGGGCATGCGGTTGTTGTACATCACCAGCCAGCACGCTCCCACGACATGATGTGCACTCATTTGGCTACTTTTCTCTCACCCAATCGCTTCTTACTTTCCATCTCATCATCTAAACCAAGTTCCACCCATCCTCTCTCCACACCCTCACTTTCACACTCACACCCTCTCCGCCCTCGCCACCCCTCGTGTCCACATCACCGCGGCCAAGACGCCGCGCGTGTGGCTGTTTGGCTACGATCCCGACGGCAAGCCGCTGCAGGGCGACGCGTGGAAGGCGGACTTCAGCCCCGAGCACGTCGACAAGACCGTCACCTTCGAGCGACACCCGCACCTCGGCTACCACTGCGCCTCCATCCACCCCTGCAAGTGCGTTGCCTCGGGGGTGATGTGTGGAGTGGTGTGGACTGACGTGGGGTAGAGTGTGTATCTGTGTGTGTGTGTGTCTGTGTTCATGTGTGTGTATTTGTATCACAACCAAGAGCTGCCCACTGCGCTCCTTTTGTGATACCGGCCCGCTCGTCCACCACATCCGTCCCCGCCTCATTCTCCTCGTTTTCGCACGAATCAAAGGCACGCTGAGGGCATGAAGAACACCGTGGAGCTTCTTGTTGGCGACCAGGGCGCCGTCAGCGCAAAGTTGTACGTCAATCTGTACCGTGCTGATGACATCTGCCCTCGCACTGCTTCCCCTCTCGGCCGCATCTGTGCGCATGCAGTGCTTGCTTGAGTTGCGTGGTGGTTTAGACAGTGGCTTGCTGTGGTTCCCTGTAGCTTCTGCCCTCCCCGGCCCCACTCGTCCCTGTCGTGTGCATTTCTTTTCATTGTGTACGCGTCAGCGTCAAGTGGGCTCGATTGCGTCCAGGGAACGCTCACACACATGTGCACATGCCACTAACCCTTCCCCGCGCTCTGACCATGCGACGCCACACCACACCATGCTGTGCTGTGCTGTGCCATTGCAGCTACATGGTCATCTTCCTCAAGTTCATCCAGGTGCGGCCCGCACGTGTGTGTGTGTGTGTGTGTGTGTGTGTGTGTGTGTCTGTGTGTGTGTGTGTGTGTCTGTGTTGGGTGAGTTGTTCTTCTCGCAGCGCCCCTTTGCTTATGCGCCCTGCCGCTTCCTGATTTCTGCCGTTCATGCATCTCACATGCTCACCAACGAAACCCCAACCTCAAATGCTGCCCCTTTGTGCCCTGTGCCCAGTCTGTCATCCCCAACATTGAGTACGACTACACCAGCAAGTTTGAGGTCTCCCCGCGCCAGGCTGACTGAACGCACAGCCTCGTACGTTGCGCTCGCTCGCGTGTGTGTGTGTGTGTCTGTTTGTCTGTGTCGCTGCGCGTTGATTGTGGACTCGAGAGTTAGGGTTTACTTTGGGCGTTGATTACGGCATTTCAACCGCACGCACACACGCACGCATACATGCACCACCACCACACCACGATTCACATTCTGCCTTTCTCACTTTCCTGTCTTCTTCTTGTTCTTCTTCTTCTGTTTCGCCGATGTGTCACCCCCGCCACCGCTGCTGCTGCTGCTGCTGCTGCTGCTGCTGCTGCTGCTTTGTGTTGTGCCCGTACCCTTCTTGCTCTTCTTCTTCTTTTTTCGCTTCTTCTTGTTGCTGAGCAGCGCGGACGCCGACGCGGACGCCTGCTTCTGCCGCTGCAACACTGCGTTGAGCTTGCGAAGCAGCTTCTCCTCGTGCGACTCAACCCCAAGCTTCTCCTCAGACTTCTGCTCAGCACGCGTGGGGTGTATTTGTTGTTTGGTGTTGTGTTGTTGTGTTGTCGTGTGGTTGTTGTTATGGTGGTGATTTGTGGTATTGTGGTGTTGAGGATGCATTCATACACGAACCTGAACGCTCATCGACTTCAACAAGCACGAGAAAGGAGGCGCAGAGGGGGACAGGGAGCGAGGGAGCGAGAGAGTGTGTGCGCATATCGCATCTCGTGCACACACACACACAACACAAACACAAACACACACACACACACTTACACACTTCACAACACGCACCTGTTGCAAGTGTTCCTGTGTTGCGGGGCTCGGTCGCATGAGAAAGAGCCGGCCGCCATTGATGGTGATGATGGGCACGCCGGCGACGTGTTTGAACTGCTGCATCACCTGCGGGTCCTGCGTCGCAATCACGTAGCGGTGCTTGTTGCTGTCGCCCACCATATCCTTCAGGCAAGCGGCAGCACTGCATCCTTTTGCGTGGCCGCAGTGGCGGTTCTGAAAGCGGCGAAGTACGAGCTTTGGACCAAGAAACTGATCACGGTCCTTCAACGCAGCAGCCAGTGTGTCAAGCTCACTAATCAAGCAGCGTGTCGTCACTGCCATGAAGCGTGCGCGCGCGCGTTATGCGTGTGCGTGCAAGTGTGTGTATACGCGAGTGTGTGTGTGTGTGCGTGCGTGCGTGCGTGTATGCGTGCGTGCGTGTATGCGTGTGCGTGCGAGAGTGTGTATACGCGAGTGTGTGTGTGTGTGTGTGTGTGTGTGTGTGTGTGTGTGTGTGTGTGTTGGTGAGCAAATCAGCAACAAACACATGATTCAGAAGAGCAGAGCAAGATGACATACAGCTACTCCACCACCACACACACACACACACACGCACGCACGCACACACACACACACGCACATGGCTTACATAGCTGTACGGTCGAGGCAAGGTATCGTGGTAGCTGCTCGGCAATGTGCACTTTCACTCGCAGGGCTGCCTGCGCGAACGTTCCATCCACTGCGGCATCATAGCAACAGGAGCAGGAAGCGCATGAAGAATCCACGTGAGGGAGCAGCCACCAAACATGTAACTGTGTATGCACGAGCACACAAACTGTACAAGCCCATGCGCGTGTGTGTGCATGTTTGCATGTTTGTGCTGCTGACAGTGCTTGTGGTTGAGCTCACCAATCACTTGGTACGGTTCGTGGAAGCCAAACGCGCTCTGGTACACGGCCAAGACCTTCTTGGCCTTCTTCGTCTACCCCAACAAACCCACATGCACACAGAGTGAGACGGAGCGTGAGACGGAGCGTGAGACGGAGCGTGAGACGGAGCATGAGACGGAGCGTGACTCCTCTCTTGCAGGCAACAGGCCAAAGGAAGAGAGCAGAACACGAGAGAGGGGACCACGCACACAGGCAGACACACACACACACACTCACACACACTCACACACACGCACACACACACACACTCACACACACTCACACACGTACTCGGTTGATGCGCATGGTTGGTTGGTGCGTGTGTGCATGTGCTCGTTGTCGTGTCCTCTTTCCTTTTCAAAAGGAATTTTGGCGCAATGGCGTTTGTTGTGGTGTTGAAGGAGGAGGACAGCCGATACAAGCAGGTGAGCATGGGCTGTGCTGTGTGTTGCACTGTGTGCGCTGCATTGTGTTGTGTGCTGTGTTACGACGTATCGGCAGCGCGGCTTCTTTGCAAGTGTTGCTTCTTCACCCATTCATGCCACTCACCCTCTACTCCATCCCGCGCAGGCGTTGGCACCTGTGCTGGCTGGCGACCAAACAGCAAAGGACGAGGCGCAGGACAACAGTGGCAAAGATGACGGTTGCAGCAAAGATGACGGCAGCTCCTCCAGTGATGAACGCAGCTCCTCCGCCAGGTTACAGTTTGTGCCTGTGCTCCAGGTCGAGCACACCAAAGGCGAGGCTGTGGACAGACAACTACTGGAGTTGTTGCACACATTACCCAACGCGGGCATCATTATCACCAGCAGCAACGCCATCACAGCAGCAACATCCGCGCTAAGCCCTGCTGCTCGACAGCTCATCAAGGACAAACCAGGCTTCTTTGTTGGTGACAAGACAGCCACAGCAGCAGCTCATGCGCTTCAGCTCAAGGTGTGTGTGTGTGTGTGTGTGTGTGTGTGTGTGTGTGTGTGTGTGTGTGTGTGTGTGTGTGTGTGTGTGTGTGTGTGTGTGTGTGTGTGTGTGTGTGGACTGAGTCAGCTTCCAACACACCCTTGTTCCTCGCGCCCGTGTTGCTCACACCCACACGTTGTATCAGGTGGCGATTGTCGCCAACAAAGCCAAGGAGCTCGGTGAGCGGTTGGTATCCGAGGTGCCGTGCTCATCGTACATCTTCCTCTGCGGCGACCCTCACCGACCGGAATTACCCACCCTCCTTCAAGCACACAGCGTACGTCAGTCCATGGAGCGGAAGAGTGTGTGTGTGTGTGTGTGTGTGTGTGTGTGTGTGTGTGTGTGTGTGTGTGTGTGTGTGTGTGTGAAAGAAGCGTCACGTAACAAGCACATGCAGACACATGCACGCACACACATGCACGCACATGCATACAAACACATGCAGACACATGCACACACATGCATGCACACACATGCACAAACACACATACTCTCTCTCTCTCTCTCTGTCTCGAATACTCAAGCCCTGTGTGCCTGACTCATGCTACAGATCCCCTTGCACGAGGTGGTGTGTTACTCGTCTGTCATCAAAGATGAAGCCATCACACACGTCCAACAGCTGCTGCAGGACTGCCCATCACCAATCCTCGTCATCTTCAGCCCATCTGTCGCCCGCAGGGTCAACGCGCTTCTTTCAACAGGTGGGCGCGTGTTGCCTGACTCGTTCAACAGGGTGGTTTGCCAGTGTACCCTACAACAGACAGACAGACACAGACAGACAGACACACACACACACTCACACACACACACTCACACACACACACAGACATACAGACAAACAGACACAGGCACACAGACAGACACACTCACACACACACACACACACACTCTCTCTCTCTCTCACACGCACACTCACACGCACACACTCTCTCACACGCACACTCACAAACATCACAATCGTAATGGTGTTTAGATGCTGCGAATAGCGCGCTGGCAAGGATGGTCACTATTGGGCCAACAACAGCGGCAGAGATTACGCGAGCGCCTGTGTTTGTTGCTGAAAAGCCAACGCCAGCACACGTCGCACATGCACTCGAGCTGGCATTGCAACACCACCCGCACGCGTCGTGATGGGTCGATGCCGTCCCACACCCATACCCTGCTTGCCTCACTCACTCGTTCTTTTCACCTGTGCGTGGTTCGCACTGACGCATCAACCGCGCACACCGGAATCGTTCTGTATGTATTTTGCCTCCATTGCTTCTATTGCCATGCTGATGCTGTGTGTATGTAGTGTGTGTTTATTGGGGAAAACTCGCTGAAATCTTACACTGCTCCCAGCGCTCAAAGATGGGGAAGGCAATTGCGGCAAAACAAAGGGCAGCGGTGCGTATGGGCGAATGTGTGTGAGAGCACGCGCCTCATAGACAGAAAGAAAAGTGAATCAATAGATAGATAGATAGAAACCAAGTGCCTCGGTGCGAGGCTCATGTGTAGTGCTGCGACTGTCGCTTAGACAGTTGCAGGGGGCTCTGTTGCGGCCGGGCCACCCGGGCTTCGTGAGGTCACTGGGGCGCTGCGTGGCTGTCCCTCATCGTTGTCGGTGGTGGCGGTGGCAGCGGCGGTGGCAGCAGTGCCGTTGTTGCTGTCATTGCTGCGCTGGCCGCTGTGGCCGGGGGGTGTGGTCTGCGGATGCTTGCGCTTGCGGGTGCGCTTGCCCTGTTGGTGGTTGCGCTGGGCTTGAGCGCGCGCTCGTTGTACCGTCTGGGTGCTCTGGCGGGGAGTGTGTGTGTCTCCCGCCCGGACCGAGCCCGGCTGGTTTTTGCCCCGCTTGTCGTGAGGCATCTGGCCGATGCACCGGAGGTTCGCGTAGCACTCAGCCTTGCATCTCGCGATGGACAACACTTGCCGCCAGTACGTGCTGCTGTGCATGGAGGTAAAAGTGCGCACGTGTGGTGGTGTTTGTGGGTCCGTCGTGGACATAAGGTCGCTGCTGAAGAACTTCCGGAACTTCGAGCCCCAGGCGCCCGAGCCGGCCTCGATCGCAATCGGCACAAATTTGAAGTCGCCCTGGTCGCGTAGGATGGCCTGGTACTTCTTGATCTTGCGTTGTTCCGCCTGCGACGCCGCGTAGAGGTTGACTTTGGCGGCCTGTGGTTGGTACGAGCTGGCCGCGGGGGCGGCAAACACGAGGTCAAACACGGTGTAATCGCCAGACTTGTCGAAGCTGAGGATGTCACCGCGCTTGCCGCCTGCGCCTGGGAAGCCGGAGGGCTCTTGTGTCGCGCGGCGGTTGAGCTGCATGAAGGCCCGGGCAATGGCGTTCTGCATGTAGTCGTGCCGGCCCGTTCTTGTGGAGTCGCAGACTTCTGCGTGGTCCAGCTTCATCTCGCGCCCGCAGCAGTAGCAGCTGCCTGATGCACGCGACTCGGAGCAAGGTGTCCGAATCCGCTGGCTCAGAGCAAACCGAAACACCTTGTCCGACATCCGTAGGTCCTTGCAGCTGGGCAGGGCCAGGAGCCACTCGTAGCCGCCGTGCAGGCTGGCTCCTCGTTGAATGGCTCGGTTGCGTGGGTTCTCGTCCCAGCCCGTCTTCCTGTCCATGATCTGGGTCAGGAACTGCTGCAAGCTGCGAGCGTCGTGGTTTAGAACGTCCCTCGTGTCACGGGGGCCGTCGTCGCCGAGGTGCAGATCCGCGATGGCTTGCGCTATCTCCGCCTCCAATTCGGCGCCCGGCGTGGTGTATGCTTGGAAAGGGTGGTGAGGGCTCTTGCTGAAGCTGCAGACGGAGCCGAGGAAGGCGGCGGGGGCGACGCTTGTCTGCCTCCGTAGCCCAAGGCCTCCTTGTTTGATGGGTCGTCGTGCCCGCGTCAGGGCCCGCGATGACAGGGGCTTGAAGGCGCCCATCATGCGCCGAAGCTGCTCCGCGATAATGTCGTCGAGCGCTTCGCAGTGCTCCTTCGACCGACGGGTCGTGCGCATGAAGTAGCCGGACTTGGTCGTAATGCAGTACCGAAGGAACTGGAAGACCAGTTGCGCCGGCAAGTGGGCGCTCGCCAGGTCGAGAGCCCTCCGTGTCTCGTCGAGGTGGGATGCCTCGTATGGCCCGAAGAGGGGGACGCCCAGCACTTTCGCGGTCTGGTCGCCGTAGGGGATGACGACCGTCTTGTCTTCATTGATCTTCAGCCCCGTCCGGCGGATCTCCATGTCGAGCCGCTCCGCGGCCGCCTTGACGTCATCGCGCGGGCCAACGATGTAGGTGTCATCAAGGTACGCGACGACGGTGACCGTGGGGTGGGCCTTGTCGGTTTCCTTCAGCGCGTGGATCGTGGCGAGGGCAAAATACGCCGGTGAGAGCGGACCGCCCTGCGCGATGCCATCGCGCATGTGGAGGGTGTCGCCACCCGGCGTGACGACGACCGGTGCCTGGCCGTACGTCGCCAGGAAGCAATGTGCGAGGCTCGGGAAGCGGCGGCTGATGGCGTCGTAGATTGAGCGTCGCGTCACTGCGCCAAAGGCGTTGGAGATGTCGAGCGCCTGCGCCACGTGGTCCCGGTGGGCCCGCAGGTACTCACGCAGGCCATGCACGATGCACTCTGTGCCGGCGGGGATGCCGACGCCGAGTTGGTGCGGGCATAGGGCGTCGGCGATCTCGGCCTTGTGCGCGCTGAAGACCGTCTTCTCCAGGAGCTTGGCGATGCTGTCCATGGGGACCACAGGTCGGATGCCGCCATTGCTCTTCGTCAGCGGCACCACGCGTCCACCCATGAGGAGTGGCATGCGCTTCCGAAACTTGCCATGATATAGCGCGTTGACCAGCTTCGGCAGGGATGCTCCGTGCTCGTGCAGCTGCGCCAGGGTCGCGGGCGTGAGCCCGGTGGCGCCCGCCGCCGCCTGCCTGTCCAGCGTGTACAGCGCATCCGTGATCTTTTCTGCCGGGAGATCGTCGATGGTGGTTCTGGCGAGTGGCCCGTCGCCGCCAGCGTCGCCGCCGCTGTTGTCGTCGCCCCTGCTGGGCAGGCCTGCGCTGCCTGTCGTGATGATCTTCTGCTTCACCTGCTCCTTGATGTCGTCGCTCCACTCCGCGACGGAGGCGGTGTCGCGGAGGATCGAGTGGCCTTTGGACATTTCTCTTTGTAATCATGATCGAACAGCGAGCATGTCAACAGCCACATCACAGCACATCAAACACAACAATTGCTTCTTGGATGGGCAGCAAAGCGGCACGCTACACATGCACCATCGGGGCCAGCCAAGAAGCGCACCAAGCAAAAGCGTACAACGAGCTGGCTAATACGCAACACAAGCACACGTTCTCGCACACGTGAGCGCTCACCTGGCACAGCACACGAAATACACCTCACACAAACATAACGTGTCCAATTAACACCACTGAGGCAACGGGAAAGCTGAGGTGAGAGGGAAATGGGACGAAACAGAAGACACAAGCGAGCGAGGAGCATATGAGCAACGCACACTGACGACGCTCGCGCCTGTCCAAGCAAAACAGGCCAGAACAGAGGAATTAAGGCCAGGGCAAGGAGGAAGGAAGGAAGACAGAAACGCGAGCAAGGGAAGAAGGGAAGAAGGGAAGAGGGAAAGGGCAAAGGGGAGGAGAAAGAAAAGAAACGATTGGGGAGATCGGGGAAGGAAAAGAAGTGCAGCCATAAGAGGCCGCAGGCACAGCGGCGATGCAAGATGCATCAGTGCAATGGCAGACGCATTACGCGCTGGTGCCATCGCGGTACCGCAGCTTGAGCTCGCGGCCCTTGACAATCTTGCCCCAGCCAATGAGGCGCCAGTGCTTGTCAATACGGCGGCTGAGTGCAATGGCCTCGCCAGGCTGCATCAAGCAATGCAATCAGAGAGCGAGCAGCAAAGGGTGAGTGGCATCACAAACCTTAGCATCAGGTCAAACTGCGCAACACTGATTAACACGCACCAGACCTCAACTAGGCACCACCCACAACCCCAACTTCCACACACACACACATACACGCACACGCACGAAACAGGCATCAGAACAGAAACCAACATCGCTCTCCTCCCTTCCCCCCCCCCCCCCCTCGACAACCAGTCTTGATGGTTCACCCACTGACCTCTGTGCAGACGGGCTGTGTGAGCGAGACCTTGGCAAGATCGCCCTTGACGCTCTGGACACGGCAGCCGGTGGACAGGGAGCCAATGTTGACCATAATCACCTCGCCCTTGCCCAGCTTGCTGACCTTGGCGGCCTTCTTGTCGCCCTCCGTCTTGACACCAAGGAGGCGGCGCAGCAGGAAGTAGTGGATCTCAAGCTCGCTGTAGACAGGAGGAAGAGCACCAACGCCGCCGAGGACCTGACCAACAAGACGGTCTGCACGGCACAGCGTGGGGTCGATCAGCGTGCCCACGCCAATGAGGCCGCCAGGCACAGCATACTGCAGCGAGTTGCGCTCGGCAAAGAGCGACACAACCCGCGACTTGATGGGCATGCACTTGAACTTGTTGCCAGAGTCCTTGGTTACAATACCAGGGCGCACCTCAATCTCCTGTAGTTGGACAGACACAGACCGAGAGAGACAGACAAACAGAGGCAGAGAGAAACGAAAGTGGAAGTATGCACAAGTTCAGGTGAGGCAAGGAAACCCACCAGGAAAACGCAAAATAACACACACGCACACACGCACACACACACACACGCACACACACACAACAGCAGCAGCAGCAGAAAATGACTGAAAGCAGGTCCACCAGTGCAAGGGGGGTCGGACCTGTCCATGCTTGAGGATGCCGTGGAGGATACTGCCGCCGGCAACGCCGCCCTGCAGGTCATCGACCTCACACCCGGGCTTGTTCACGTCAAAGGAGCGGATGACAATGAGGCGGGGGTCGGAAAGGAAGTCGCGCGTGGGGACGGGGATGTAGCGAGCAAGGTACTCGCACACAGCCTCCACGTTGTACTTGAGCTGGGCCGAGATGGGGATGATGGGGGAGCCCTCCGCCACCGTACCTGTTGGTGTTGAGCGTTAAAGAGTTGAGTGTTGAATGTTGAATGTTGAATGTGGAGTGGAGCACGTGGCACGAACGGAGTCAGGACGCAGACAAGAACAAGACGACACGACACACACAGTCGAGCTGCAAACCGCTGCAACGGCGCACACACGTACAAACACAGAGAGATACACACATGTATGCACACACGAGCACACATGCACGCATTTACACGCGCATGCATGGCCCATGCGGATCGACGCACCTTTGATGAAGGCTGTGATCTCCTCCTTTTGTTGTTTTGCCTGGACCTTGGTGATGAGGTCAACCTTGTTCTGGATGACGAGAATCTCCTTGAGCTTCATAATCTCGACGGCAGCAATGTGTTCCGCAGTCTGGGGCTGGGGGCAGGACTCGTTGCCCGCTGTGTCGTCAAGAACAGTGGACGTGAGCATTGGACGCAGCACAGCGCAAGCAGCAACCCTAGCAGCAGCAAAAGCACAGCAGAAAAGGCAGCAGCAGTGCACACACATCACATAATCACACGCGCGCACACCACTCACATACACGCGCACGAAAGACCGACATGCACACATATCACACACACACACAAAAGACAAATATACACACACCAATGAGGAGGAGAGCGGCGTCCATGACGGCGGCGCCGTTGAGCATGGTGGCCATGAGGATATCGTGACCAGGGCAGTCAACAAAGGACACGTGGCGAAGCAACCGCAGGTGACCCTCGCAGCCGGGGCGTGGGCAGCGGGACACATCAGGGTGTGAGCTGCCTTGGGACCTGGTGCGCGACAAATACGGTGCGTGCGCATGCACATGCATGGTGAGCAAATCAGGTAGGTACGACGGTCACCACTACCACCGCCACCGCGAACGAGCTTCAACCTCGGAACTCATCAAAGGGTCGCATGCATGCATGCATGCGTAAAGGGCACTGCCGCAACTGCCACACAACAAGTTCCCGACATGTCTTTGCAGAAAGGAACTCACTTGTATCTGAGAAGAGGAGGGCACGCACTGCACCTGTAGATCTACAACGAGGTTGCAGCACGAGGGGCAAGTACAGCACACAAAGACGCGACGCAAGCATGAGGATATGGACGCGAAACAAATGCATGCGTGCACGCATGCAGCGCACACATATGTGCGCCATCCACGACGAGACACATGGCAACGCTGCATACAGTCGTGGAAGCTGCTTCAGCAAACCGAGTGGGTGCATGTTGCAAAACACCACCGGGTTCTGGTGCGCAAACAGCATGAACGTGGGTGCGCGAGGGGCTCACCTTGGCGTTGGCGTAACCAAGCTTGATGGTGATGTTTCGTCGCAACTCGCTCTTGAATCGAACTGTCTGCACGCCAGAGATGGCCTTCACAAGCGTGGACTTGCCGTGGGCGACATGGCCGATGGTGCCTGCGTGACATCGAGAACAGGGAGGGAGAGGAGGCGACGAACGTGAGTCAAGAGATCAAGCAACATGCGTATGTGTGTGTGTATGTGGTGTGCATGAATGCATGCATGCATATGTGGCGAGAAATTCGAGAACACGGACGTGTGCGGCATACACGACTTGTGCGCCTTTGCATTATTCAGTGCTTTGCGCGACGCACAATTGGCGCGCAGACTCGTGTGCGCGCATGTGCGTGTGTGTGTGTGTGTGCTTGTGGAGGAGGTGTATGAACGTTGCGTGGGTTGTGTGGTCTTGAAAACATGGTTGATGGGTTGATTTGATTGGTGCATGTGTGGCTGGGACTCCTTCCGAGTCAAAGTGAAGCGCGTACCAATGTTGATTGTGGCTTGGCGGCTGATGATTTGTGGGGACAGGGGGTTCAGCTTGGTTGCATCCTGTGGAGAGGGGCCGAGAAACACATGGAGGCAACGGCGGCGTTGGGAAACGCAGAGAGACAG